ATTACGGAATAATTATTCGAATCCGTGAATTCACGTGATTTTCGTTCCATTGCGTTTTTGCACGAACCTCTGACCATTTTTTCGCTTTTCATTTCGACAAATGAAAAAGAAGAAGGAAGAAAAACAACGGAGTTTGTGGAAGCTTTCGTCACAGCGAAAGTTGAAATTATTTTACGTAATGCGAATCTTGCTGTTTTATTTTTTTTCCCCCATTCTACTAGTCTAGACTGATTAGCTTCCTTGTTGTAGCAGCACCGTTTATTAAAGAACAATCGCGCACTAAACGAATAATTAACGATACAATTTAATAACCGACGATCTAATAGTTTTAATTAGAAACAGAAGCTCTTAAAGAGTAAAAAAAGAAAAAAAAGTGTATCGTAAAATACTTCTTTGTGACAAAGTAGAAGGCACGAAGTGCAGGATCAGTTCTCATTTATCTTTCATCTGATTAGATTGAAATTGAATCTGAGGAGGTCTGCTTCGTGATAAAATTTTCAGTTAAAAAAAAAAATCCCGAAGAAAGCCATCGTTTTGTCCGAGGCTACAGCGACTCGACGTCGCTAAAGAATCGGATTAATTATTCGCTGGGCATTAGTCACGACCGTCACCGTAATATCTGCGGTGCGTAATTTACGAACCGATGGGATTTGCCATCCGTGTTTTACATCCTCCTCTCTATGCTAAATACCGAGGTGCCCTCGTAAACCGCTCATCTTGGCCGTGGTCGCAATCTAAAGACGCGTTTCAACCGAACACCCTCGGCGGCAGAGCCTCGATTAGAGTAAATGGTCATCGAGAAATCTGTCCGTAAACTCATTTACAGCCGGCAGTGCTTCTTCCACGGTGGATCGGAGCAAACGCACCCGTACAGATTAGATAAGACGGTCTCGTTGAATTTTATTAAAGCACGAAGCTTTTGCTCTGGCTCTAAACGATGCGTTTCAACGTCTCTCGTTTCAAAGGCATCGATCCCACCTCGACTGTTCATTCCGCGTATAATATCGCGTTTGTTAATTACTCACCGTGCTCGTGAGTAATTAAATCTCGCGTTTTCACGAGAAGCTCCGGCCCGGTGTAATTGTTCCAACTTCGGGGAATTAAGACGGAAGATTGCTTCTGATTTTCCCTGTTTAAGTCATTTTCGTTAATATTTCCTACTGCTGATGTTTCGTTCGAGAGAAAAGCGTTTTTTCTATTCGTGTGGTATCTTAAATTTTAAACTTTTTCGTTCAGTCATTCGGGGGAGGGGAGGAAAAACTCGAGCGAGCGAGTATCTCTTGTTTGAACGAGAATGAATTTTTCAAAAATAACAGATGGCGATGCTAATAGATTTTTCAAGCGTTCTCTTCTTTGTACAGCTGTTTCATTTATACTTCATTTGTTGACTAGTCAATGACAATTTATTCGCTCGAATCTTGGTAGGTTCATCAGTGTCAAAATATCTTTATCCTTAAGTAATCAATCTAGCAGAGACATCGATTGTTTGAAATTCTTTTCATACGTTTATGTTCAAGTTTCCACGGCAATTTACTCTCAAATACAAAGCTCGACACCGAGATAGAAAATTTTCAACGAGGAAACGTCATTTTACATTTCTCTGAGGATGAAGGTAAAGAGTACAAAGTCTTAGTATTGTAACGTCGTACTATTCTTCTTCGCAAATTACACAGCTGAAACAAACGAAATCGAATACACTTAGCGCGCGTCTCTCATTAGCAAACAACGTGAATAATACATAATGAATTTACGCGATTCGTGTCGGCGTACGTAGTTTCCGGGGAATAAATCAATTGAAACATACATCAGCGGGACGAACCCATAATTATACATTAGACTTGCTCAGCCTCCCGAGATTAAAGTCCTATTTCCACCGGATAAATCGTTTCCCTCGCCTCGATGATTTTTCAATTTCATTCGATAACAAGAATCCATGTAAAATTGGGTCAAGTTTGCGTTAGATGAACTGTCTGAGAATTTTTCAAAAAATCCATGCACCTTTCAAGCAGCGCACGCTGCTGCACACAATATTATTTCAAGTCACAATATTATTTCAAGTTTATTATTACAAGCAATCGTTTCGCTGCCTGGCAAACGATTCGCCAGGGGAACCTTCGAGTACGTAGCATTTGCATTTTACAAATTTCACATCTTATTCTCTAGTCCCCTAAAAAAGTGTTCCAAAAAATATATTTTGTTTCCCGGCGCAACGGAAAAAAAAACTCGCGCGTAAGAGATCTCGACGATTTAGAGGTAATTATTTTACGTCGTTCCCTCTGAACAACGCCGCGATTTTATTACGGCCTGTATTTCTTGGTATATCGTTCAACCTTCTTTGCGTTTGAAAGAACACGTTTCTTTCTATCTCTCCCGTTTTACTTTCTCTTCAAGCCAGATTAATATTATTTCAAACGTAGAAAGTAAAAAAGAAAGAAAGGAAGCTGGCAAATCGGACATCGAACGGTGCGTCATTGAACTCCGAAAAGAGCCGTGGTCGCGTGTTACTTTCTGCTTCGTACGTCAGAAAGTACGCGAAACAATTATTTTTTAATTACACCGTGAAAGGGCGCTAATGCAATCTCTCGTTTTCAATATCCCGTGGCCTTCGTTTCTAACATTTTTACAACGCCCTCCCCCTTCGAACCAGATTGATATTGTTCTTTCACTTTGAAAAAGTGTACTCTCGTAATACAATCTTGGCATAAAAAAGAAAATAATCACGCGCGATACGTCGTCACGGTATCCAGTAAAAATTGACGACGCGCGCGAATAAGCGGAATTTCCTTGCTCGAGGTGTTGCTCGAGGGTAAAGGCGAGAGAAAAAAAGAAAAAGAAAGAGGGAAAATTTACTATTTCTCGTAAATTTGTTTCGTTGCACGCTTGTAAGCCCCGGTTACCGGATCCTTTGCTAACAATAATGGAACTTTTCATTGTGCCTAACACAATGACCTGTTCCTCACCGACGGGGCGGGAAGTTTAAGCGGCGCGCAACGAGAACCGTGCCTGGAAAAATAGACGGGACAACCCACGGGAACGAGACGAAGTAAGGGAGAGAAATGTTTCAATTTTCGATCGTTCGCCCCGTACGAACGACAGGCGGCATATTTGCCGATGTTCGTCGAACTGGCAGGGATATTTTTTCTCGGCGGGATTAGAGCGTACCTGGGTTACGTGCTCGCCATTAGTGAAACGCCGAGAGAGCTCTCGATAAATCTTGCGCGAGTGATTTATAATATTTGGCTGTAATAAATGGGACGTATGTGTGTATGTGTGTGTGTGTGTCGTTTTTCGTAATTTGAATTTGTTCGTTGTAATTGCAGCGTACATTGGAACACGACGAGCTGCTAATGTGTGTTAATTGCTGTCTAGATACTCGTCGTTGAAGTTACAAAAGTCAATCGGTCCGAGTCCGAACATTATTACGTCTAAATTATTATGACTGAATGTATTATAATTCTATCGGCGCAGATCACTTTTAATGGAAAATAGCTCGTCTATTTTGTCGACTTAAATCGTACAAATCGTTGTAAATAGATACTCTTTCAGAGTTAACTTCTGCGAATTAAAATTTAAAACGATATTTCATTATTTTTCCTCCCATGGATTTCCCTTTCGTATAAAAATTTCTTCTGGCAGTCGGAGAAACAATAACACGAGCTCTACAGTATAAATACGTATACTTTTCCAAAAAAAAAAAAGAAATTATTTCAACGTTTCATGTTCTGTTTAGTTTTTTCCACATGTACAGAAGAATAAACTTTATGGATCATTTGATTCAATTGAATTTCATTGTCGTCAGTAATGATACTAGCCATCAGCAACGATCTTTGCAACACTTTCATTGCTATTGACGCGCACACTGCTCCGATTATGTAACAATAAATAATGCCCGCTGATCCAACAAAGGACTCGCAATCGGAAGAACGAGAATTCGTATCGGGGTAAATATTATTACGGTAGAATTATTGCTTGATCGTCGGAACGTCGATTAATGAAAGTTTAGTTTACGATTCCTCGAACTCGGAAGAAATTAACATTATTTTTTGCTCGAACATTTTACGGCCCAGTGGTTTGTTTAATTAAAAAGTTCAGTTACGATTTCTCTCTCGAGCCCGGGCGAAATTAACATTGTTACTTTTGTTCGAACAGTTTACCAGGCAAACAGTTTGTTTAATTAAAGCGTAAAACACGTCCGATCTTGAACATCGTCGTTGGTGTGTCAAAGCAATTTGCATAGAAACGAGTCGTAGAATGAATGCAAACGAGTATTGTTTTGCAAAATGCGTGCTCGGTGCGTGCGGGATTAAATTAGGATCAAGTAACTGGCTCTGACTAACAAGACCTTAAGGAATAGTCTTATATAGGAAGAACATTTGCATGGGAATGAGTGAAAGGGGAGGGGAATCGACGCCGGTGGATCTCGGTGGATTCTACCTATCGGATTCTTCTTCTTTCCTTCCGTTTTATTCTCTCCTCTTCGTTCTGGCGAGCCATGTCGATTTTGTCACTTCTCGATAGCTGTCTGACTTACGAATGCTTGGCAATTTA